CTATGCCAATCCCGTATCAGTTCCGGCCCTCCCGGCGCAGACATCCTTGCTTACGCCAACTCCATGTCAGGCTCCAGTTGCCCGAGCCCATGCCTCTTCGCTTATGTCGGCCCCTAATGCGGCTCCAACCATCTCACACAGCCCCCTAATTCGGTGCAGCCCACATCAGTTGCATCTCATATACCCAAACAATGCCATCAGTTCCAAACAACCAACAGACACCTGAGCTTAAGACCCCTAAGTTTGTTGAGCTGTCAGTAGACTCAAGAATGAATCAGACCTAAATGCATTTGTGCTGCTTCTGAGCCCATAATTTGAGTAACCACATTTTTTCTACTTTTTCATAAAATTAACTTAGTTATGCAAAGATTTTGAGTTGATCTCGCCCAAAGATCTGCGTAGATTGGAGCGCAAACACAAACATATCATAATATGGAGCTGAGAGAGAGCGAAGAAGAGAGATTATAAAGCCTTCAAAAGCAAAGTGGAGATTTGGGTTTTGTGACCATTAAAAGGCCTTATGAGAGTATGTATCCAATTTTTCCGTAGTGGAACAATGAATTCCAGTGGGAGTATGGTCTAAAGGGACCAAAGTTGGCAGCAATACTGATATCGAGACTCAAACTTGGCTTGACGAGCTAGGCTACTTGAGGACTAAAACCCTAAGATACTTGCTCTGTATTAAAACCATAAGGTACTAGTAAAGCAAAGTTGAGAAGGGTTAGCAGGGTGATGAGGTTGGATATGCTCAAGTAGTTAACCAAGAGACTGTGTAAACCTTGTGTGTGATTAGTTGGCTTAAAAGGCAAAATCCTCATCATGACCATTCACACAGTTGGTCGGCCCTAGTTTTCGGTCACACCCTTCTCTTGGCGTTCTTCTTAGAACCACAAGTTCTTCCTTTTCTTGTTTCGGAGAAGAGAAAAAAACATGTGTCGTCCCCTTAGAGTGCATGCATGTGTGCACATGAGGGTGACCCTAATGCCCACTAGGATAAGGGTTAGGCGGTGGGATGTGTGCCGTTCAAACCAACAAAAGAAAGATTCGAGATAAGGCTTACCTCGTGATGGTGGGGTCAGATACACCCAGGCAAGCTTGTCGTCCTAGATCCCGGTGCCTTGTAGCATGCAAAAAGACCCCGGGCCTTAATTCAACTTGGTTTCTAGTCAACTTATTCACCGCCTTTGCTCAGTTGTGCGCACTCAGATGGTTCAAGTCATGTGGACCCCTAGGCTCGTCTCTTAGGCTTAGAAAGACATGTGCATGTGTGAGAAGTTTGATTGGGTTAGGGATGAGTCTAGGTTGGATGGGTAAACGCTTTGGTAGGGTAGACTTGGTGATTCAAGGTTTACTAAGTTAGGCATGGTTGAGGGATAGGGATGAGCTTAGGTTAGATAGGTTAAGGTTTTGGTAGGCTAGAATTGGTGGGTCAAGATTTGGTAAGCTAGGCTTGGTTGAGGGATAGGGATGAGCTTAGGATAGCTGGGTTAAGGTTTTGGTAGGCTAGACTTGGTTGAGGGCTAGGGGTTGGGGTTGAATTTAGGTTAGATGGGTTAAGGTTTGGTAGAACCACTCAATAAAATCCATGAGCCTTCTAGCGTCACCTCCTCTAGGAAGCAATACCAGAGACGAGAAAACAAGGTACTAGGAACTAGGCCTAAGTACCTGCATATGGGTTAAGGGTGATCATAGGGTCTTACCCTGATGTTTTAACCCAAGAATAAGTCTCCTTAGAGAGTGGGGGCTAAATAGGGGAGTGAGATAAGGGTGGAAAGTGAAAGAAGGGGAGAGACTAGCACCAAGATAGGTGTGAGAGAGAGGGGCGGCTAGGGTAGTGTGAGAGAGAGGCAACTAAGATAGAGAGAGAGGCAGCTAGGGTAATGAGAGAGTAATGGGCTAGAGTGTAGGGGAGTATGGAGTAGGGGGTTAGAATAGTATGGGAGTAGGGAGTATGAGGACAAGGAGTATGGATATAGGTATTTCTAATAAACAAAAATTCCCTCTCCTCATTCAAAGGTAAAAGATTTTCAATGAAGCTCAGAAAAGTCTCTCTCTCACTCTCCTAAGTTTGCCTCTTTGCAATTCATTTCCAACCAACCTTTGCTAACCTCTTGCAATTTTCAATATATAGGTAGAGTTTCCCCTTAAACATGGGTGTATACTCAACACCCAAGAGAATTTCCTGAAAATGAAATTAAAGTAAATAAAATTGAAATCCCATATTGAAGAAAAATGATCAAATATGACCCTAAAAAAATATGAAAATGGCATCTAAGTCCCTAAAAAGGGACCTCTTCCCATCCACATGGCTTGGGACCTTCTTTCTGTGATTTCCAACGACGCTTTATTGAATGATATTGTGTCGTTTTACTCATGTTCTTGAAAACTTTCACTTTTCCAGCCAAACATGCACACTTGAACTCTTTCTTCGCTAGATCTTGCTCAAAATGACTTTGCATTGGTCTTATTTTTGTTAGCAAATCAAAGGGGAAGTCTTCTGGTTGTCTTGCATAGAATAACCACATACTTTGGGAGCCACCATAAAAGTGATTTTCTTGCAACCCAAAATATGTACCTTCTCGCGAGCCATGGTTGGGTACTTTCTCGATCCACATCTTGGGCATATTTTACGTCAAATGGAAGCTCCTTGAGTCACTGTCGAAATTCTCTATTTTTTAGGTTCATAGGACCTCGAGGCATCGAGTTATGTCCATTGGAGTGAGAAAACGTCTTGCACACAAAAATCTACATAATGCAATTTTCGGGCAAACTTCTCTCTAAAATTTTTCTTGGCTCGGTGATCGGCGTTAAGCATGGTATATGTCAAAATCTTCCTCTTGTCAAGGAGAAGTACATATTAAAATTTGAGCTCCATCGGCCTTGTAGTCGATGGAACATGAGCTTCGCATGACTATTTTATTTTTGAAAAATGCATCAATTTTTTACTATTGATAGTAATTGGTTTTGTTGCTTGCATATGAATAGTAAGCAGCTTACCAATTTTAGGAAAGTTTGACCTAGAAATGTTTGTTTGAGCTGAAACTAGCTAGATAAGAGTTTTGGGACCTTCTAAAGCCGTTTTGCGGTGTTCTGGTGACCATCCAAGATCATCCTCATAGAGTTTTAGCTATGGTTTAGCTTGTACACGTTAGAGGATAGAACTACAAACTGAATCACCATCATGTTCCCTCGTGCCTTTGTCTGGTTTAGGCAAAACTTGGGGACAGACTTTAGGACTTCAAACATCGCTCTCGCAGACTTTTTGGAGCCGAGGTGATACCATTTCAAATACTCTTCAAAATTAGGCTTATTCCTCATGGACTTCCATAGTTCATAGGCATATTTGTTACCTACGAGACATGGTTGCAACCACCTCCCTTTTTATACACATGGGGAAAGAAGTGCGTCAAAAATACCCTACAATAGCTTGCCCCGCCAAATGTTGCTCATCGAGAGGAGCAAGAAGTATGACATTCGAAACAAAATCACTTGAGTTCATCTTTCGAATCCTCATGGGGCATTGTTTTTTCTCCCAAATTTGTTTCCCAGTTATCAGCATCAATGTAACATTCGGAAGAGGG